GTTGTTATCTTCAACCCGACGACATAACCCCTGGGCATAAACGTAGCTCACAAAGAATGGACTAGGTCAAACCGCTTTCGGACAGAACAAAGCAGATGTGGACATCTGATCCACCATTGGAAGATAAAGTTCAGCCAGCATTATATCGCCATTATTGTCAGACCATACAACCCTTTATTTCTGAATTCCTGTTGCAAAAACTCGACCGCAGCAGAACTGATATTCACAATCCTAGTGCAGTCGGCTATTTACTGACTTGTAGATCTTTACAATCAAATATAAAATTGCTATTAACCTCTCCCAACCGTATAACAGAAGATGACTGCTGGCTATTTCATTGACTTCCATTACATTTCCTAATATAGAGCGTAAAAGTGAATAAAAGATGGTGATGCAGGACGAATCAGTCTGTTTCTGTGCTCAGCCGTCAAGTAAAGGTAGTAATTTTTTATGAACACTGAACCCGCAGGCTAAGACAGTAAGTGCAGTAGGAGCAATAAATTGAAAGATCTATTTTCCATACAATTCGCTTCTCGCATCTGTAGATACGTAATGTGATCATGAACGTTTTTTAGCCTGTAAACAGCCCCATAACTTGTAAAACAGGGATCATCATTTTCTCTATTGCTAATAATAACTAAACATAACAGTCAAATTCTGGATTATGATAATTATAATAATCTGTTAACGTAATGAAAGTCAATGAAGCATGCACCAAACTATTCCTTTTTTATGGTCAATTTAATTTATGGCTTATGGGAGATGGCACTATTGAAAAAGTTTTTCAAACATGGTTAAAGTAAAACGAAAGCACCCGATAGTTTTCAAAGTCGACTGAGGAATGGTTCTGAAACTCTCATTGCCGGAAGATGTCTATCAGCTGATTTCGCTATCGATCAATCCTTAAAAAGCGTTCTAGCGGCACGCATATGCATTTGATAAATGCTTGCCTACTTTCTAATATCTAGTAGTGATTTTTTGTGCTGAAAAGCCCAATTGTTTATGCCCTGTCACAAACAGCAAACTTTATTATTTAGACAGTCAGTGAGTTCAACACGAGAGTATCACAATACAGTGTTATTCATAATCAAGTGCACATTAAGAATATATGTCACTTCAATCTGCCCTCTTTCCCACTTTGCTATGTTTGCCATGACATCAGCAACTGACTAAAATGCTGCGAAACATTTATTTAACAGCGTGGCAACAATAAAATGAACAGCAAAAACAACAATATTAATGCTAAATCAAGTTGAAAACGCTGTTACTACTTCCGCCTAAACTGTCGGCACGGGTTTTCTTGCTCGAGCTCTGAAAAATTAGTATTAATTAACTTATTCTGCAATAACAAAACAAAATTTATCATAATCAAATGAACTTAACATACATTTTGTTATTTTCACCTTCCCCTGACAACTCCCCCGCGAAACCAGGCAACGACCAAAGTATGAGATCGCGCAGCAACGCAAAACATCGTGAGAAGTAGCGGTAGCTGTGATGTTCTAACATAAACCTCAAAACGGTCGTCTAGAGAAAAATAACAACTCGGTTTGGTTCATTTATTTATGTTTAATGACAGTTCTGTCTGAAAGAACGGTAATCTGACAAACTTTGAAATGAAAGAAAGTAAAAGGAAATTTTGTAACCGTTGGTTTGATGATCTCCTATGCATTTCTATGATTGAAGCCCTTTGTAGCCCTTTCACCTGATGAAGTTATGAAGTATACAGTGCGGTGCTGACCTCTGTTTCCATTCCATCAACCAGGAGTGCCTAATTTATTAAAAAGAACTGATGAAGCAAACTGTTATAGAACTGTAATAACTCCACAGAGGCCCTTTGATGGAGCCGTCTGCCCTTCAACTGAATGACGTGGATAAACGAAGGGAAGCTTTCGATGATAGTAGGAAAATGAGAAAAGCATCGCGTAATCTGGATGGCGAAGTCGTGAAAAATTTAGGGTAATAATACTACTGAGAAATTCAAACTTGAATACAGCTTTTTTGTCATGCTTCTGACCAGATTACATCTTTCATTTATACGATGAAAACACTCACCTGCTTGCTTCCGCCCTGGTTACTGGCTGCTGAAGCCTTCTGTGGAGAAACAGGGTGGTACAGACCTCTAGATAAGTCCGCAAAGCCACTGTTGCTGTCACCGGAGCATTTATAAACCTTCTCCAATGTCGTTTGACTACGAAACAATAAAGATTCTCTTCGAGCTTTGCCCATCTACAAAAAAATTTAACTTTTAAATGTAACGGTAAAAC